CTCCTCGTTCCCTCTTCCCCAGATTTATATGCCCTTCTGATCATCCTATTTTCCTCCATCCTCTCTAAATGTCCAAACCACCTCAACAACCCCTCCTTAGCCCTCTGAATAATAATTTTGGTAATGCCAAAAAACTTAGTATGAAAATATTAATTATATAGCAAGATTTCAAGTATGTCTTGCTACTTCTACTTTCACTTAGGTCACACTACACATACATGTACAAGCATATATATACACATACCCCTCTGGGTATTCTTCTATTTTCTTTGTAGTTCTTGTTCTTGTTTATTTCCTCTTATCTCCATGGGGAAGTGGAACAGAATTCTTCCTCCGTAAGCCATGCGTGTTGTAAAAGGCGACTAAAATGCCAGGAGCAAGGGGCTAGTAACCCCTTCTCCCGTATAAATTACTAAATTTAAAAGAGAAACTTTCGTTTTTCTTTTTGGGCCACCCTGCCTTGGTGGGATACGGCCGGTGTGTTGAAAGAAAGAAAGAAAGATTTAGTTGGTATAACAATTAACAACTGGGCTTCTAGATTACACACCAAATTATTTGCTATCCTAATGATGCCAGTTTACTTATGACAACGAACGTGACTTCTCCGTCATTACTGATTCTGTCATCTCTAAGTACATTTGGCACAATTAAGTCCTCCCTAACTTCCTTGAAACTAAACAAAGGCAAGACTTATCTAGAGAGTCAGGGGTATATCTCAGGGAAGTATAGATGGGAGATTTTGGTCCCATTGATTATGTTAGTGTGCAGCTGTGAGATGAGTGAAAGATCTGGGTGTTTGCCTGGATGTCTTTGTCATATTATTACATTTATGGAGGGAGCACTAAACCAGTAGGGGTCATACAGTACCTAAGGTAATGGAGAGCTTATAGGTTCAATCACCGGCATGAAGGAACCTTCCTTGAAGGGACTGTCATTTGCTGGGTATATCATCCAAGATTGTTAACTCTGGCAACTATCACCACAATCTTTATGCAATTAGAAAGAAATCTTGGTTCTTATCAATGCAGTTGTTTTATCTCAAACTGAATTTTGCAGTTGTTTGTGGGTTTGCCAAATTACTTACCTTTGATATACCTTCAATGAGTTCAGAAAGTTTTTCTACAACAGCAGCCCAGCCATGTCTGGTGTTTGCCTGGTCAACCAAGTTGTTGCTGCTGGTGGCCCACATGTCCATCACAACCTGGTTAATCTGGCACCTGAAGATACCCAGTTTCCTCCTGAAGATTAATACATTTGTCCCAGCAGTGTTTCTACTGGGGCCATGAATGTTGATAGAACGTTCCCTTATTGTGCCCACTGCACCCAGTTTTCACTGGGCTTATTTTGTGCTTCCTCCCATATCTCTGTTGCTTAAGACTTTAGTCTGTTCTGAATCATGCAGCTAGACTGCTATCTTTACTCCCACCTGGAGCTCCCACTAGAAAGTTAAGTGGTCAGAAATTATAAAATCCCAAGTCACAATCAGATTATTTTCATTTTCCATGGACAATGCCTCAAATATTTGTTGCTACACTAACCTCACTCCCTATCGTATCAGTTATTACAGTACCAAAAGCTGTCTACTTTTTAATGATAAGTCAGTATTTTGCAGTAAAAATTTGAATGGTTAAAAAAAAAAAAAAAAAAAAAAAAAACCATTTACCTCCCTCCTCAAATAGTGTTGACAGAAAATGGATCTTGGCTCTTGGTTGCTGGCCTCGTAGGTCTGATCATACTTGCTCTAGAAGCTGTGTATTTTTCTGAACCACTCACGTACAACTACTTTTGAACCCTAGGTCATTGCTTGATGCTTTTAATATTTTATCATGTTGTCTGCTTTAGCAGTTTTCCATTTTCATTTCTATGGCACTTACCACATCAAATTCCATCATCCATAAGCACCCTTGCCCAAGGGTCTTTTCTGTCACCTTTTAAAAACAGGAAAAAATGTGCCTTTCTCATTTGTCTAACATTCTATTGTGTACAAAAAAAGAAAAATAGATAATTTAGTTAATGAGCACATTGTTTTAAGACCCATGGTGCTGTCGCATCTGGTCCTGTTGCTTTACTCTTGTCAACTTCCTGTAGTAACTTTTTCCAACTCAAATTTTCAGTGTCTTCCATTTCAGTTGCTTGTTTAGAATAGTGTATTATTACATTCATGTGCCATGTTTGGGGTACAAATCTGCTATATTTAAGGTGCACTTTTCATTGAAAAACTTTGTCTACTTCACATTTAGCATCCCCCACATTTACCTAATTCAGTAATTTTGGTGTTATTTCCTTTGCTTTCCACATTTGTTTTTTTTCTATTACAAACTTGAAGGACATTATTATTATTATTATTATTATTATCCCATACCCCCGGCCGGGATTGAACCCGCGGTCATAGAGTCTCAAAACTCCAGCCCGTCGCGTTAGCCACTAGACCAGCTAGCCACAATAAGATTCATCCAACTAGGTATATTTCTACACCATAGGAAAGTTAGCACAGGCACCTCTGTGACCACAAATGCAAGTTTTTACAGACGAATCTCCAGCTAGCGTGGCCGTGACGAACTCTAGCTCAAGTCCCTTCACTGCCGTCAACATGACTCAAGAAATCGTAATGACACGATTGCAAATAAACCATACCCCCGGCCGGGATTGAACCCGCGGTCATAGAGTCTCAAAACTCCAGCCCGTCGCGTTAGCCACTAGACCAGCTAGCCACAATAAGATTCATCCAACTAGGTATATTTCTACACCATAGGAAAGTTAGCACAGGCACCTCTGTGACCACAAATGCAAGTTTTTACAGACGAATCTCCAGCTAGCGTGGCCGTGACGAACTCTAGCTCAAGTCCCTTCACTGCCGTCAACATGACTCAAGAAATCGTAATGACACGATTGCAAATAAACCATACCCCCGGCCGGGATTGAACCCGCGGTCATAGAGTCTCAAAACTCCGCCGTCGCTAGCACTAGACCGCTAGCCACATAAGATTCATTCCAACTAGTATATCTACCCCGGCCGGGTATGTTTATTTGCAATCGTGTCATACGATTTTTTAGTCATGTTGACGCAGTGAAGGACTTGAGCAGAGTTCTCACGGCCACGCTAGCTGAGATTCGTCGTAAAAACTTGCATTTGTGGTCACAGAGGTGCCGTGCTAACTTTCCTATGGTGTAAATATACTAGTGGATGAATCTTATTGTGGCTAGCTGGTCTAGTGGCTAACGCGAACGGCTGGAGTTTGAACTCTAGACCGCGGTTCAATCCGGCCGGGTCAATGGTTATTGCAATCGGTCATTACGATTCTTGAGTCATGTTGACAGCATTGAAGACTTGAGCTAGAGTTACGTCACGGCCACGCTAGCTGGAGATTGTCTGTAAAAACTTGCATTGGGGTCACAGGGGTGCTTGCTAACTTTCCTATGGTGTAGAAATATACCAGTTGGATGAACTTATGTGGCACTGTCTATGGCTAACCGATGGTGAGTTTTGAGACTCTAGACCGCGGGTCATCCCGGCCGGGGGTATGGTTTATTTGCAATCGTGTAATTACGATTTCTTGAGTTATTATTATTATACTATGCAGTGGTCCCTTAAAGGTCTTAAATGGAGTGTTGGAGTGGAAGGGGAGGTGGGGGGAGGGTGGTATGGAGGAAGTCAAAGGGAGGGAGTGTGTGTTTGTAACACACATGTATCAGACATGGACAGTATAAAACAGCATCTACATTCTTTACCAATCTGCCGGCCTGCCCTTCTTGCCGTGTTTGCTGTGGCCTACCAGCCTTCAATGAAATGGTGGAGGGAATGTTCTGGAGTGAGAGGAAGGGGGAAAGGATAGTAAGAGGGAGACAGTACGTGTACAGTACTAAATGCCTGTATCTGACACAGATGGGATGAAACGGCAAAAAGAAAAGTGTAAATGTTAGGCTGGCAAGCATGCAGGCAGATTTGGCTCCCAACCTATCTGCCGCCCTCGACCTGCCACTTTGCTTTGGTATAAGCCTATGAAAGACAGGCTTAATATGCTGCTGAGTGTCAATGCCTCTGGAGCTTATGCATGTTTACAACTCAGAAAACCTCAAGTATTTAAACAAAATGTATCCAAAGGCAGATTTAGTGTGTCATGGTGTTGTAGAACAAATTACCATAAAACCATACATTCTGTAGTTTGAGTTACAATAATTTTGAGGTACAATATATCTGGAATGGATTAATATCATAGCACAAGGGACCACTGTATTTGGAGGTCATACATTACCTTGGAAATGGAGGGCAATCATGTTTGATCCAAGGAAGGGTAGGAAGAGTCGAATTCCTGGGATCAAGAGCCCCTCACCGGCATCAAGGACCCTCCCTTGAGGAGACTGACTTATTTCAAATTATCACTATTATTAGGTTTAGGGGAAATTGATAAACCAATTGATCATACAGCAGCTGAGGAATGAGAGGTAGTCACATTATTATTTTAATCATGGGGGAGCACTAAACCTGTAGGATTATACAGCACATGTGGGAGGGGGAATATGGAAGATATTCAGGCTTAAGTCAGGGAACCAGAGCACAGATCCAATTCCCTAGCTCAAGAGCCCCTCACCAGCATCAAGGAACCTCTCTTGAGGGGAGTAGTCACAATAGATTCAGAGAGGACAGATCCATTTCCTTAGATTAAAAGCCCTTCAGCATGAAAAGCCAGTGAGAGAAGAATGAGTGATCCAATAGAACTGGATCACTCATACCAAATGAGTTTACATATTTCTGTATATCCAAAACTAACAGTAAATCCAGATGAGTCAGTGTGGGCTTACAGTTTGTTGAAAATTCCTGCTAAGTAGAAAATACTTGGTTTAGTGTTTGTTTTTGTGAAATATTTTCACAAAAAATACAGCGCTAAAGTTAGCTGCAAAAATAATAAATTTCCATCTCTTCTAAAATGGAAATCAACTGGTTTGCAAGAGATGCAATTAAAAAAAGTTAATAATGTGCAATAAAGGTTATATTATTAAAATAATTTTCAGTGTTTTATTAGAGTTGCACTATCTCAGTTTAGCAAACATATAGGTACACAATGTAAATGATGTATCACAATGTTTATCTTCATTCAAAAGCCCAGGACAGAAAATACACATACCCAAAAATTATGTATTCTGGCAGGCTAAATTTTTATACCAGGTGCATAAGAAATTAAGTCATATTAAGAATGTAATTATTCTATTCACGAAGTAAGAGATAACTACACAAGGTTCATTCACTGCTGCCACAATACGATGATGATTCATGCATCTTTTATCTGGGTTAGTGCTAGTGTTGAAGAATGAGACATCATTGTATCTCATAATCAGCATTTTACACAGAATTGTTCCATCATTTATACCTACATTTGATTTAAACAACTACACTCAGTGCCAAAGCCTAATAGTAGCATCAGCTCCAGAGGTGAAAAGGAATGGTTCATATGGATGCCATGTTACATCCAGTACACAGAGACCCTCAAACATCTTATGGCCCTTCAGTTCCTTGACAGGCACAATAAAAGGATCCTTCAGCCAGTCACTGAAAAAAATTAGAGCATTTTAATTAATATGCAGTTTTTTTTTTTTAAGATCAGCTCTTTCCCAGCAAGGTAGAATGATCAGAAGGAAATATAGACCCCATTCATTTTGTTTTTTAATCCTTATCACCTTACTCTTTCCTATATTCACTTTTAATTTTCTACTTTTACATACCCTACCAAACTCATCCACCAACCTCTGCAATTTCTCTTCCGAATCTCCTAAAAGCACAGTGTCATCAGCAAAGAGCAACTGTGACAACTCCCACTTTGTGTTAGATTCTTTATCTTTTAACCCCACACCTCTTGCCAACACCTGTGTATTCATTTCTCTTACCACCCCATCTATAAATATATTGAACAGCCATAGTGACATCACACATCCTTGTCCAGTAAAAGTAGGCCTTAGATAAGGATGTGTGATGTCACCATGGTTGTTCAATACATTTATAAATGGGGCTGTAAGATAATTGAATGCTTGGGTGTTGGCAAGAGGTGTGAGGTTAAAAGATAAAGGCTCGAACACAAAGTGGGAGTTGTCACAGTTGCTCTTTGCTGATGACACTGCGCTTCTGGGAGATTCTGAAGAGAAGTTGCAGAGGTTTGTGGACGAGTTTGGAAGGGAATGTAAAAGAAGAAAATTAAAAGTGAATATAGGGAAGAATAAGGTGATGAGCATTACAAAAAAAAAAAAAAAAAAGTAACGAAAGATTTGATATCAGATTGGAGGGAGTGTGTGTGGCGGCGGTGAATGTATTCAGATATTTAAGAGTTGACGTGTCAGCAGATGGGTCTATGAAAGAAGGTGAATCATAGAATTGACAAGGGATAAAAGGTGAGTGGTGTACTGAGGAGTCTGTGCAGACAAACCAGAGAGGGGAATGTATAAAAGTATAGTTGTAGCAATGCTCTTATATGGGTGTGAAGCATGGGTGGTGAATGTTGCAACAAGAAGGCTGGAGGCACTGGAGATGTCACATCTAAGGACAATGTGTAGTGTGAATACAATGCAGAGAATTCGTAGTTTGGAAATTAAAAGGTATGGGATTACCAAAACTACTATTCAGAGAGCTGGGGAGGGGTTGTTGAGGCGGTTCAGACATGTAGAGAGGGTGGAACAAAATAGAATGACTGAGAGTGTATATATCTGTAGTGGAGGGAAGGTAGGGCAGAGGTCAGAGGGAGCTAGAAAAGGAGGTTTTGTGTGCGAGGGGCTTGAACTTCCAGCAAGCATGCATGAGCATGTTCAATAAGAGTGAATGGAGACAAATGGTCTTTAGGACTTGATGTGCTGTTGAAGTGTGAGCAGGGTAATATTTATGAAGGGATTCAAGGAAACTGGCAGGCCAGACTTGAGTCCTGGAGATGGGAAGCACAGTGTCTGCACTCTGAAGGAGGGGTGTTAATGTTACAGTTTTATAACTGTAGTGTAAGTGCACCTCTGGCAAGACAGTGATAGAGTGAATGATGGTAAAAGCTTTTCTTTTTCAGGCCACCCTACCTTGGTGGGAAATGGTCAATGTGTTAATAAAAAAAAATAAAAAGCTTACTGAGAATACCAGGTAAAGTGTATGGTAGGGTTATTATTGAAAGAATTAGAGATAAGACAGAGAGCAGGATTGCAGATGAGCAAGGAGGCTTTAGAATGGGTAGGAGATGCATAGATCAAGTGGTTACATTGAAGCATATATGTGACCAGTATTTAGATAAAGATAGGGAAGTTATCATGGTATTTTTGGATTTAGAAAAGGCATATGATAGAGTGGACAGGGGAGCAATGTTGCAAGTGTATGGAATAGTTAGTAAGTTACTAAATGCTAGAAAGAGTTTTTATGATGGAAGTGAGGCTCAGGTTAGGGTGTGTAGGAGACGGATATTACTTCCCAGTAAGAGTAGGTGTTAGAAAGGGATGTGTAATGTCACTATGGTTGTTTAACATATTTATAGATGGGGTTGTAAAAGAAGTAAATAAAAGGGTGTTGGGGAGAGGGGTGGGATTAAATTATGGGGAATCAAAAAGAAAATGGGAGTTGACACAGTTACTTTTTGCTGATGATACTGTGCTAATGGGAGATTCTAAAGAAAAGTTGCAAAGGTTAGTGGACGAGTTTGGGAGGGCATGTAAAGGTAGAAAGTTGAAAGTGAACATAGATAAGAGTAAGGTGATGAGGGTATCAAATGATTTAGATAAAGAAAACTTGGATATTCATTGGAGAGAGGGAGTATGGAAGGAGTAAATTTTTTTTTTTCCAACAAGTCGGCCATCTCCCACCGAGGCAGGGCCAAAAAGAAAGAAAATCCCCAAAATGAAAATACTTTCATCATCATTCAACACTTTCATCTCACTCACACATAATCACTGTTTTTGCAGAGGTGCTTAGAACACAACAGTTTAGAAGCATATACGTATAAAGATACACAACATATCCCTCCAAACTGCTAATATCCCGAAACCCCTCCTTTAGAGTGCAGGCATTGTACTTCCCATTTCCAGGACTCAAGTCCGGCTATATAAAAATAGCCGGTTTCCCTGAATCCCTTCACTAAATATTACCCTGCTCACACTCCAACAGATCGTCAGGTCCCAAATACCATTCGTCTCCATTCACTCCTATCGAACACGCTCATGCAAGCCTGCTGGAAGTCCAAGCCCCTCGCCCACAAAACCTCCCTTACCCCTTCCTTCCAACCTTTTTGAGGACGACCCCTACCCCGCCTTCCTTCTACAGATTTAAATGTTTTCAGATATTTGGGAGTTGACTTGTCAGCAGATAGATTTATGAAGGATGAGCTTAACCATAGAACTGATGAAGGAAAAATGGTGAGTGGTGCGTCGAGGTGTCTGTGGAGACAAAAAATGTTATCCATGGAGGCAAAGAAGGGAATGTGCAAAAGTACAGTGGTACCAACACTCTTATATGGGAGTAAAGCTTGGAGGCAGCTGGAAGCAGTGATGTCCTGTCTAAGGGCAATGTGTGGTGTAAATATTTTGCAGAGAATGCCGAGTGTGGAAATTAGGAGGAGGTGTGGAGTTACTAAAAGTATTAGTCAGAGGGCTGAAGAGGAGTTGTTGAGGTGGTTTGGTCATTTAGAGAGAATGGATCAAAGCAGAAAGACTTGGAGAGCATATAAATCTGTAGGGGAAGGAAGGCAAGGTAGGGGTCATCCTTGAAAAGGTTGGAGGGAAGGAGTAAAGGAGGTTTTGTGGGTGAGGGGCTTGGATTTCCAGCAACCATGAGTGTATTAGATAGGATTATTATTATTATAATCAAAAAGAAGCGCTAAGCCACAAGGGCTATACAGCGCTGCAGGGTAGGGAAGGAAGCGAGGGGATTGGGCAGTAGAAGGGGGAGGGATGATCAGTAGGTTACAGAAAACAGCAGGGCAGGGGATAGTGTGGGGGTAGAGGGTAGCAAGAGACTGAGGTAGAAAGGGCTGAAGGTATCAGAGTTTGTAAAGCAAGTCAGTTGTTGTCAAAAAGTCAATGAGAGAGTCTGGATGAAAGGTGGGTCCATCAGCGAGAAGGGAAGGTAAAGAGAGAGCAGCGGAGTGAAGACGACGACGACGGAGGTAAATTCTGCGTGCTCGTTGATAAAATGGGCAGTCTAACAGAATGTGGCTGACTGATAATGGAACCTGACAATTCTCACAGGGAGGAGCAGGGCGCCTCTCCATGAGATATCCATGAGTAAGATGAGTATGGCCAATGCGAAGACGGGAGAGAGTAGTCTCCCAACCACGACACTGGTGACAAGAAGACGGCCAGTAACCTATACTCGGTTTAATAGATTGAAGTTTGTTACCGAGCAGAGTAGACCAATGTTGTTGCCAACGGGTGTGAAAGTGGGTAGCTATTGCAGCAAAATAGTCCATAAATGGAATACCTCTATATGAAACTGGTAGGTCATGTACTGCTGACCGTGCAGCAGTGTCTGCCTGTTCATTGCCCTGTATGTCAACATGACCAGGGACCCAACAAAAAACAATATCTTTATGCTTGGTAAAGATGCAGCGTAGCCAAAGTTGGATACGGAGGTCTAAGGGGTGAGGTGTATCAAATTTCTGTATAGCCTGTAAAGCACTAAGGGAGTCTGAGACAACCACAAATGATGACACAGGCATAGATGCAATACGGATAAGTGCTGCAAGAATGGCATACAATTCGGCAGTAAAAATACTAGCCGCAGATAGTAAATGCCCTTGTACGATGCTGTCCGGAAACACTGCCGCGAATCCTACGCTGTCAGAGGACTTAGAGCCATCTGTGTACACTGCAATGGCATGAGAATGAGAGTAGAAGTGGTCAAGAAAGAGAGAGCGGGAAGCGACCATAGACAGTTGGGCTTTTGAGCAAGGGAGAGAGAAAGAACAGACTCGAACAGCTGGAACTTCCCAGGGGGGTAGGGAAAAGTGAGATGCTACATGAACATAGAAAGGTGGTAATTGGAGAGAAGACAAGAGCGAATGTAGGCGAAGAGAGAAGGGACGGAGTAAACAGGGGCAGCGAACAAATAAAGAATGTCTTCTAATATCAGTGACCATTCTATAAATGGAAGGATTGCGGAGATCATGAGAACGTACATAGTAGCGAAGGCAATGGGCATCATGGCGATCGGATAAGGATGGAACGTTCGCTTTTGCATAGAGGCTCTCAACAGGGGAAGAGCAAAAAGCACCAAGGCATAAACGTAATCCTTGGTGATGAATGGGGTTAAGGCTAGAGAGTGTAGCAGGAGAGGCCGCTGAATATATCTGGTCACCATAATCAAGTTTCGATAAAATGAGGGTGGAATGTAGGCGAAGGAGAGTTCGACGACCAGCTCCCCATGAAAGATGAGCAAGGGTTTTAAGAAGGTTCAGCCAGCTGTGACAAGTTGCCTTCAGAGAGGTAATGTGAGGTTTCCAGGATAACCTATAGTCAAAGAGGAGGCCCAGAAACCTGAATGAATCACGTTCAGGGATACGGGAGCCATAGAAGTACAAAGGATGACTGAGATGACAG